ATTAGGATTTTATAACCCATTTCTTCTGTTAAAAATAATTAATCACTGTCAGTTTTTATAGGGGGAATATTTTCACTATTCTTTTCAATGAATCATCATTTGCCTTTGGTCTTGCAAACACATTTTTAAAGCATTAGTAATAGTATTTACATATGAATCACCTCGCAATGGCTGTACCATTATGCTTTCTATTTTTATCTCTCAGTATCTGAGATAATCCCAAAGCCTTTCAAAAATATCTGCTTTGGCACGATTTGAGTCAGTCCATATCAGGAGAGAGATGAGAAATGGGATATGGGAGGGAAGAGAATTATTGGTTAATAAATTTTACCTTCTAAATCACTGAAATTCAAAAGTACGAAGGATGGCAATATCATGGCTAATGTTCAAAAACGGGCTAACGTCAAAGATTTCCAATGAATTATGATCATGAGGGGTTATACAAAGTTCAACATAAATCAAAACACCAGAAAATATCCACTTGCCATGTGAAGAGCTTACTTTACAAGGTCAACTAAGGTAAAATCCACACAGTTCTAAAATTTTTTCAAGCTTTTTGGTAGAAATTAAAAATACAGTCTCTCAGACTACCTAATAATGGCTTCATTATTGAACATTAACCCACAACAAATGACCTGCAGTAGCTTAGGAGTCTTAAATTTGCAATTATTTTCTTCTGAAACAATAAACACCATCTCTTACACAATGCATTTGAACACACTATATTAATTAATTTTTAATACTTACTAAACTTTCATATAAGCATTAAAAATGAGAATACTATCTAGTGGCTTAGTCTTTATGATATAAAAATTTTTGCAAGCTGGAAAAATAGAGGAATCTGCTGTAATAAATTATTGGAATTCTCTGTAATAAAAAACCAAACCCGTTGCCATCAAGTTGATTCCGACTCACAGCGACCCTGCCCTGTAGGGTTCCCAAGGAGCAGCTGGTGGATTCCAACTGCCAACCTTTTGGATAGCAGTCAAGCTCTTAACCACTGCACCACCAGTGCTGTAATAAAAGGCACATGGAAATACCACTCACAAGGAAAGGAACAGTATATTATGTTGTCTAAAAGCACGGATTATGGAAGCTGACTGCTTGAGTTCAAATTCCAATTGTTCCATAGACTAGCTGTGTGAACTTGGACAAGTTACTTAACCTCTCTGTGCCTCAGTTTCCTCATCTCTGAAATGAGGATAATATGGCTCAACATATGGTTCTTGTGAGGAACACATAAGCTAATATATGTAAAGCATTTAGAAAAGTGTCTAGCACATAGTAAACATTCAATAAATGTTAGCTATTATTACCATTAGTATTGATAGCAATTTTTGTATAAATATTAGTAATATTCCATGGAGATAACAGGCCAGGAATAAAGACACTACACATAAATACTGGGGGGAGGGGGGACAACAAAGATAACTAAGGCACAATATGGAACCCACCACTAGACACTGGCAAGAAACTACACTATAAAAACTTACAATCAAATTTTTGAAGAGTTTTATATTGTTTAGAAACAGAGTATGTAATTAAGCTATAATATTCATACACTTGACAAATTATGCACATCACTGTTTTCCAGCTATCAGGCAGGTTGTTACACAATGACCACTGACGCTTCTAATATGGCACACATAGAAGGCAGGATTTTAACTAGTTGCTACATGGAGTGTTGCCTAGCGATGTTTGAGACTAAACAATACCTTTGCTCTAATCATAGCCAACAACACACCTATCGCTTTACCCTAAGATCTAATGGGAAGACATAACCTGAATTATAATTATTATATCTTCCCTATTACTTTCTCTTTTCCTTTGTCCCAAGCTATTTAAAGTGCCTTTCTGAAAATCAATTTCCACACTTCACTCGGTGGGCCATATGACTGAACTGTAGAACTGTACATCAGATTCAGCTCTTTTCATTTCAGACATAAAAGCATGCTTCTTTTCTCTGCTCAACTATATGACTTCCATCATGTTCTAAATCACTGACCTGCCAGACAGCCACCCCACCATTCCATGGGCCAGTTCAAGATCTTTTATTTGCTGGCTCATCTTTTCCAGAAGGTTCAGTTCAATTTATATAAAAAGCAAATTTCTGGTCAATAATCCACAAATGGATAATTCACATATGGCTCATTACGAGTTGGCTGAACTTTAAAATGCAATTTTACAATTAAGTTTAGTTGTAGACTTCACTAAACAAAGATATCCACTTATTAATTTTCCTAATCTAATGAGGCAGTTAAAAATGCATAGTTACAAACACGTTGTAGCATGGAGCCATCTTCAAGGACATGTCAAAAACTTTTGTGTTTATTTTCTAAATTGGATGATTGTTAATAATACTCATATTTCTATAATAATGTAACGTTTCCCACTTCCTTGCACATTATTTCATTTAATCTACAACATCCCTTCAAGCTATTATCCCCATTTCTTACAGCACCAATCAGCACATAAGTATGAATGAATGAAATAAAAGTTGTATATAATTTTGTCAAACTCTTCAGGAAGTTCTTATTATTCTAGAGATAAACCATTAGTGAGAAGAGTGATTAACTGAAATTAATATTCCAAAGTAAAATTTTCAATCTCTTCAATACTACTAATACAGGTCTTCACAACCTGGAAGTTCTGTGACTCTACTAACACTATCTCTCTAGAAGATGTTTCTACAGTAGTTCTTATTCTAAATATGCTAAGCCTGGGGGCAATATCTGCATTGATCCTATTCAGCTACCTAATAAATTCACACAAGACGCACTGAAAACAATAACAGCCAACAATGTGGCCTTACAGGCCTTTTGCTAAACCTTTCCCTGGCCTCGCAAAAAAATATTTTTGAACTTTAGAATTTATTACCTAATTAAAACAAGTGATGGTATAACCTATTAATTAACTCGCCCAAAACCAAATTTTAAATTGTGTTTACCTGTCATCTAAATGTCATAGTGGATAATAGTTCTACATATCACTGAAAAATTGTGAAAACATGCTGCACACAAATGTATCTTAAGATTGAATGTTTTTTCTTCCAAGGTTTAGCTACAGAAGTTAAGTAAGCTGAGCTCTTTAATTTGAATAAAAGTAGCATTTGGGAAATTAAGTTTTTCTATCAGTTCTTTGAGAAGTACAAAGTAAAAAAAAAAAAATCTAACTTTTTTGCAGCAAAATGACTTTATATAATTTGTGCAGAAATAAATGTCAGTATGTATGCTGATGAATGTGATGAAGGTGAGTAGGGGGAAAAAACCCTAGAATTTTATAAATAAAGATAAAAATTAAATCCCAAGCAGCAATAGATATTTTAATGCATATCTACAGGAATGCAGTGAAGAAAAAAACATGCCATTGTTAAAACTGACTATATTTAAAAAAAAAAGTGTAAAGCTCAGAACTAATAAAGGGATTTCTGTTAACTAGGGATTAAACTCTTCAGGGCTATCGTGGTTTTTCTTTCCATTTCTTTCCATCCAGATAATGTTACCGAAAAGGGTAATAATGTATATGCAAATATATATAGATTCCTATATGATATATAGATTGCTATGATAATGGAAATTTAGTTGAACATCTAAGACCACATCTGGAAGGTATTCTCCAAACTAAATCTCAATGATCAAAATGGTTTAAAAAAACTCATATTGAGTTTGTTCAGTTATAGTTAATTTTGGTTAACCTATACTTTATTCAATTATTCTGCAAATATTTATTAACCACCTACTATGTGAGAGGTAACATAGTTACAATGGGAGGAAAAAATGACATAGCCTCTGCTATTTGTTTTATATGCCCTAAAATTAAGCAATATATAAACTTCTGGAATCTTACAGTATTGATATTTCCTGATTAAAAAACATTTCCCAAAATATGCATTATTTTTAATCACAACTCATAATTCAATAATATCCCAAAGAGTAGCTCTGATAATGAGAGGGCTCTCTGGTATAGAAGTATGCCAGCAAAAAATGAAATAGATATGATCTATTTCAGTAATCTTAAGTCACACTGCCAAAATAAGGAATTTAATGTTCTTACATAATGCTCAAAGTATTTTTCTTTTAATCTGTTCCCGATTGCCTTATTAAAAAAAAAAAAAGAAAAGAATTGATTTTTATATTACTTGGCATTTTATGTGCTTTGATAGAGTACATTTTGCTTTATTAAACCACAATGTGTTTAGGCAGCATTATAGTATTAAAACATGCATCTTAAAAGTGAAGAGATTTCTTACCAACAGTTTTAATCCCCCATGATAATCAGAGTTCTAAAAATACTACCGTAACTGGTAAAATGGTATAAACTATAGACATCATTTTGTGACCTTTCATGTTTCCTCAAAATGCATCAGTAACTTTACCCCACTACCTAGCTTCTTATAATTTTACCAAGAACATTTCTACATGGTTAAGCTCATGAGATTATATGTTACTTAGGTAAGTAAGGATATGAAAATCTCCTCACAAGGGGGTGGGAGAGGAAAGACAGAGCAAGAATTGGGAATGACTGAAAATATGCATGGGATTTCTTTTGGGGTGATAAAAATGTTCAAAAATTAGGTGGTGGTGATAGTTCCACAACTCTATGAATATACTAAACGTCATGAACTATACACTGTAAATGGGTGAATTTTATGGTATGTGAAATACATCTCGATAAAGCTGGGGGGAAAAAAACTCCATATAAAAATTTCATCGAATTCGAGTCTCTAAAAGCATCCGCGTGTATAAAATTGTTGCTTCCCTTTATTGTCCAGTTATTGTATTATCCATCATTTTACTCACTAAGGGAGCTATCAGTTGTAAACGTAACAAAGAAAACAGTAACACCCAATCTTTGGATACAGTATTGATACTTGCATACTAACATTATACATCAAATCATTCCATTTTGCTTAAGTCAATACATGCCTTAAACAATAACTGCTTTATATAACTTTAATACAAACTAATTGCTCCAAAAAAACTAGATGATGGTCCTTATACCTGGTAATCCAAAATGCTGAATCCCAAGCCCTTATGATCTTTCACTAGCTCAACAATATTGACTTCAGGAGACCATAGTGCTAACTCCCCATCATCATCTTCTTCAGTATTGACATCTATATTGTGGTCTACCTGAAATACAAAAGAAGATAAATGCTTCAAAACGCTGTCCTTTCAGTTCTGAAAAGAATCAACATCTCAGGAATTTCACAGCTTCGTCTCAAACTGGGAATTCTCTTTGGCATGTGTAGTTTTTCTTTTCAATCTTTTGAAAAGGGGCATGCACTGGGGCACACACACTCGAGTTTAGTCTTCACGAAAATTCAAACACTTAAAAAATACAGACTGTTCATACAGTTTTTATTTTTTAATATAAATTACCTATTTCATTCAGAGTATTAACACTGACCTCTTATACTTCAATGAGTTCTGTCATCCCATTAGAAGCATAAAAGGAAAAATACGCAATTTAAGTAAAATTGAAAACATCATACAAGGTAGACGCTTATAATATTTAAGTAGGGATACCTGGATTCACAATCATAGTGAGAGACAGAGAGAAAGGTGTCAACACAGAGACAGGCCAGGGCAGGACACAGAAACCACTTCTGCTGCTTCCTAGAATTTTTCAGGAGAAACTTTACTAGAAAAGTAAGGCAAAAAAAATCCAAGTCCAAAAGGAACCATGTAAGTCTAAAGCCAAGAAAATCACTGCATTAAAACAATGAAAATCTGATCTTGGACGAGGTAGACCAGCACAACTGCCTAGCACACAGTTTCTTGGTTACTTTCCCTGACTTCATGCCCCCAAATCCCCCTCTTCCAGGCACCCTTTTCCTTTCAGGGAAAAGAATCAAGGCTATGTGGAATTCTAGAAATCTGACAGAGGACCAATGAGATGACCACCCAGAAGAAGAATGGTCCTCCAACTTTCAGTTTTTATACTGTTTATAGTGTTATGTTATTGTTTCAGGAGACCTAGTGGTGCAGTCGGAAACCCTGGTGGCGTAGTGGTTAAGAGCTACGGCTGCTAATCAAAAGGTCAGCAGTTCGAATCCACCAGGTGCTCCTTGGAAACGCTATGGGGCGGTTCTACTCTGTCCTTTAGGGTCACTATGAGTCAGTATTGACTCGATGGCAAGGGGTTTGGTTTGGTTTTTTTTTTTTTTGGTGGCACAGTGGTTAAGTACTTAGCTGCTGACCAAAAGGTTGGCAGTTCAAACCCACCAGCCGCTCTGTGGGAGAAAGATGTGGCAGTCTGCTTCCGTAAAGATTGCAGCCTTGGAAAATCTATGGGGCAGTTCTACTCTGTCGTATAGGTCACCATGAGTCGGAATAAACTCGAAGGGCAACGAGCTTAGCTTATTATTGTTTTCATCCAATTTATCTTCCCCAAAATACCCTGAGCTTCTATCTAAAGGTCAAGAATTTTCATCTTCTTCTTTTTCTTTTTTTCGTAGCCCTAACAACTAGAAAACCCCTGGTACCGAGATTAGACTGGAAAAACTCCCTGAGGGCTACCATAGAGTTTATCCACTAAACTCAGAATAGTGCCTGGCTCACAGTAAGACACTTGATAAATATTTGTTCAATACATTAATGAATCATCCATCTTTGAATGAGTTTCTCTTGAAACTCCCTTTTAACTATCAACTAAATAAAAAGTACACTTCTTAAAACTTTGCATAATCTTAGTAAATGAAAATTTATCACTCCTACAAACATAATTTTGAATGACCCATGTAAGAAAATATATTTAATGGAATCAAAGGGGGAAAAAATTCTAATTTGGAAGCTAAAACAAAAACATTTTTAAAATTAGGGTTGGTCCAGATCTCAAACTGGAGCTGCAGGACATGGACAGTCAGTACCCAATCCATGATGGATTGAATCTAACCATGGGGAACAAATTCTTGGTTCTTGAATTACAAAACTTAAATAAGTGAGAAAGTTTTTGATCAGTAACCTGTGTATATTTCATTCTGATGTGAACAATTGGTATCCTTGAAAACAAAACACTTAGACCTTCCAATAAAAAGTAAAGTTCCAATGACTATACAATATGATGGATGCTTTACTTGGGGATTTAATATCTTCACTGATTTAATGAATATTAGAATTTTGGCTGAGTTGCCTAACCAAATAGGGCTTAAGGACATGAGACGGTATTGGGATAAATGAGAAACGAGAAAGAAGGAAAAGAGAGCCAGGGTTTTAAGATACCAGGTACAATTATAAATTCCAAGTTTTATAGAACTTTCAGGGCATCCAAGGTGTATGCAGTATTATACTCCAGCCTGATATATATCATTTTTGATACAATCAATTCTGCATAACCCCTGTATTTACAGAACAGAAAGCAATCAACTAATGGGCAGCAAGGTTGACATTTAGCATAATTCAAAGCTGTTGTCTGCCCATTGTGTTAAAGAGTGACGATGGGAGAGTAAATCAGCAAATTGGTGATTTACATACCCTGCAACATTAGATTAAAGGCATTTTTATCAACCTTCAGAGGTAAGCCACAGCCCGCATTTCCTTTTAGTAAGGATACCAAAAATCACGGAAGTGTGGCCTCTGAGTCCGCTCCTTAAAATATTTTTTATGAAAGATAAACATTTAAAAAAAAAAGAATCTTCTCAATCAATACTCATTACATTACTAAGCATCTTTTACATACCCAGTACAAAATAAACACACTATGAGATGCAAAATAATTTTAAGATACGGTCTCTGCACACAAGGAGCTAACAGTCTTCTTGGAAAACACGACTAATATACACTAAAATATCAATGACTACAAAGCAGTGCTACACTCTTAAGTGCTTGCAGAAAATCAGAAAAGGAAGATTTGTGGACTGGAGGAGTTAATAACTATAGCTAACTTTTACCGAGTACTTTCCATGTACAAAGCACTGTGCTTAGAAATTTGCATTATTACTTCATTTCCTCCTCACATCAACTCATGAGGTGAGTAAATACTATAACTATTCATGTTTTCAGGTGAGGAATATGAAGAACAGAAAGCCAAATTATTTGCCCAAAGATTCATAATTATTAAGGGGTGGTGCCAGGATTCCTGGCGATCTACTTCCGAAAAGTCACAGCCATTGAAAATCCTGTGGAGCACAGTTCTACTCTGAAACACATGAGGTTGCTAAGAGTCAGAATCAACTCAACAGCAACTGGCCTGGTGCCAAGGTCAGGGCCCAAGCATCTTGAAATCCAAACCTTAGAGGGTGAATGCAAAGGCTCCATGCATCTAAACTGGTAGTAATGAAACTACAATCTAGGAGTCTGCAAAGGGGGAAAAGGGGCCTAAAGGATGAGGTTACAAATGACAGAAGGTGACAATGCGTGTGCTCAAAACTGTTTTCATAATTACAATGCTCGTAAAAAGGAGTATTAAGAACATAAAAGTGTTACTTCATTCTCTGACCCCTTGAAGGCTTTTATAGCAATTTCTAGACTCACTTCAAAATTGGTCATAGATTTTTGTATTTTTAAGCCTCTCAAAAAGGGAAGCAATTAGATACTCAATACTCACCAGCATCTTAAACTTATTAAGATGAACTGAGTTGAACTGGGAAAAGTAATGAGTCTAGGCAATTACTAAAAAAGACTTAATTCAAAGTGCATGCACATCAACGTCACTGACATTTCAAGGTAAAGAAACAAGAGTTTTATGACATTAAAATGAAAAGTAACAACTTGAAGAGCTCCGCACTGTTGCTTTCGAGAGCACAGCACTATAGTCAAATTAAAAAAACAGGGGTGGGGGGGTTCCTCCCTCCCTTCATAGTGCAATACAATAGTAAACAATACAATAGCAAGCGCAATCTGGATGAATGGGAACTGCAGTACATTCATTTAGTACCTCCAGCTCAAGAAGAGAGGGTTCAGTGGCCCTTGGTTCATCTACAGAGGCCTCATCATCAAACAACCGTCGACAGCAAACTAAGGTAAAAGGGGGTGGCACTTCTTTAAGAAAGGAGACTGCTTCTCGGCGAGATTTTCCATAGAGTTGCACACCATTGACCTAGGAAGACAAGGAATACGTCAGAAAGGAGGAGGCTCTGATTGGAAAAAAACACATACGCACACACAAAATCTGCTGTTTATATCAATCCATCAAAATTAAAAAAGGATATGGTTTAATTCTCCTTGTAAACAAAAGTCCTAGATTTAATCATATTATTTGAGAAATAACATAAATGATAGAAACTTTTAAAATGCATAAAACTTAAATATAAAGCATAAAATGTGTGCAGAGTACAATTATTACTGGGTAAGTCATCTTTCTATTTTTTTGCACCTCTATGTTATATTCTACATTCCAATGTTATTTTCTCCAGTCTATTTCTACCCATCTATCCTTAAAACAGAAGCCCTGCTGGAGCAGTGGTTAAGCGCTAGGCTGCTAAACAAAAGGTCAGCAGTTCAAACCCACCAACTGCTCCACAGGAGAAACATGTGGTGCTCTGCTTCCATAAAGATTTACAGCCTTGGAAACCCTATGGAACAGTTGTACTGTATCTACCAGAATGTTCCTTAGAAGTGAGGATACTATAGGGTTGCTGAGTTGGAATTCGACACAACAGCAATGGGTTTTTATCCTTAATGTTGTTCATGGTGGTAGTGGTGTCATCAAGTCCATTCCGACTCATAGCGACCCTATGTACAACAGAATGAAACACTGCCTGTGCCATCCTCACAATCATTGCTATGTTTGAGTCCATTGTTGCAGCCACCGTGTCAATCCATCTCATTGAGGACCTTCCTCTTTTTCACTGATCCTCTACTTTACCAAGCGTAATGTCCTTATCCAAGGATTGATCCCTCCTGAAAACATGTCCAAAGTATGTGAGACGTAGTCTCGCCATCCTTGCTTTCAAGGAGCATTCTGGTCGCACTTCTTCCAAGACAGGTTTGTTTGTTCTTTTAGCAGTCCATGATATATTCAATATTCTTCACCAACACCACAATTCAGAGGCATCAATTCTTCTTTGGTCTTCATCCAGCTTTCACATACACATGAGGCAACTGAAAACACCACGGCTTCAGTCAGGCGCACTATAGTCTTTAAGGTGACATTTTTTTTTTTTTCAACCTTTCAAAGAGGTCTTTTCCAGCAGATTTGCCCAATGCAATGCGTCTTTTGATTTCCTGACTGCTGCTTCCATGAGTGTTGACCGTTGATCCGAGTAAAATGAAATTCTTACAACTTCAATCTTTTCTCCGTTTATCACAATGTTGCTTATTGGTCCAGTTGTGAGGATTTTTTGTTTTCTTTATGTTGAGGTATAATCCATACTGAAGGCTGTGGTTTTTGGTCTTCATCAGTAAGTGCTTCAAATCTACTTCACTTTCAGCAAGGAAGATTGTGTCATCTGCATAAGGCAGGTTGTTAATGAGTCTTCCTCCAATCCTGATTCCCCGTTCTTCTTCATATATAGTCCAGTTTCTCAGATTATTTGCTCAGCATACAGATTGAATAGGTATGGTGAAAGGGTACAACCCTGACGCACAACTTTCCTGACTTTAAACCACACAGTATCCCCTTGTTCTGTTCAAACAACTGCCTCTTGATCTATGTACAGGTTCTTCATGGGCACAATTAAGTGTTCTGGATTTCTCATTCTTCGCAATGTTATACATAATTTGTTATAATCCACCTAGTCAAATGCCTTTGCAGGTAAACATCTTCCTGATATTCTCTGCTTTCAGTCAGGACCCATCTGACATCAGCAATGATATCTCTGGTTCCACATCCTCTTCTGAATCCGGCTTGAATTTCTGGCAATTCCCTGTCGATGTATTGCTGCAGCCACTTTTGAATGATCTGCAGCAAAACTTTTCTTGCATGTGATATTAATGATATTGTTTGATATTTTTCTGCATTCTTTCAGATCTCCTTTCTTTGGAATAGGCATAAATATGGATCTCTTCCAGTTGGTTGGCCAGGTAGCTGTCTTCCAAATTTCCTGGCATAGACAAGTGAGCACTTCCAGTGCTGCATCCATATGTTGAAAGACCTCAATTGGTATTCCGTTAATTCCTGGAGCCTTGTTTTTCACCAATTCCTTCAGTACAGCTTGAACTTCTTACTTCAGTACCATCAGTTCCTGATCATATGTACCTCCTGAAATGGTTGAATGTTGAGCAATTCTTTTTGGTATAGTGAATCTGTGTATTCCTTCCATCTTCTTTTGATGATTCCTGCATCATTTAGTATTTTCCCCCATAGAATCCTTCAATATCGTAACTCGAAGCTTGAATTTTTTTTTTTTTTCAGTTCTTTTCAGGTTGAGAAATGCTAAGCGTGTTCTTCCCCTTTGGTTTTCTATCTCCAGGTGTCGCAGCGGCGACAGTTGTCGGGGCGGCGGAGACAATAACCAATGCCACAACTCTTACAGAGAAGTGGGGCCAGGAGGGTCACTCTGAGGAGTCGAACCTCGGCTTCAGTCCCAGGAGTTTATTTTATAGTCAATACAGCAAGCAGTGAAGCAAATAACAGAACAATGGGCTTTGGGCGAATAACAATAAGTTGCAGGCAAGGGAGGAGGAATTCAAATAAACAAGACAATCAGTAACAGGTTTGGAAAAACAAGTTGTGACAAGTCTCAGCATGTTGGGGACAAGTCTCAACATGCTGTGCAGCATAGAGGCCTGTGGGAGCTGCAGTTGTCAATAGTGCAGCCATGTTTAAATGGCATATACCCCCACATTTCCCCCCTTTTGTTTAGTTAATGGAATAAGAATCAAGAGGGTTTCCACTGGTCCAACAAGTGTCCGTTAGGACAAAGTAAAATTTTCTCTACGAGATAAAGTCCAAGATTATCTCAGCTACTGTCTCCACACCTCAGGGCCTGGCGTCTTAGTGAGTCCCTGTGAGCCCAGCTATGGCTGGGGCACACTCCATATGTTTAAGGAGGAGAAGTAGCATAGCTATGAGTAACACCTGAACTTAGTCACCTAGACGGCGGCCATAGCAGGCTCTTTAAACTCACGGTGCTGGTTTTCCACCAGATACCATCTGGTTCTTCACCAGGTTATTACTTAATGCCTGGGCTTAGTGCTTTTAGATGGCGGCCATTGCAGGCTCTTTAAACTCACGGTGCTGGTTTTCCACCGGATACCATCTGGTTCTTCACCAGGTTACTAAGCAAGAGCATTGCTCTTATCAGATGCAAAGTTGGAGCGGGGGACTCAATGTGCCTTTCAGGTGTGTAAGACAATAGAGGATAATCTTATGAGGATAATATAATCCTCTGCACTAGTAATATCCTGATTGTTGGACCCATGGGTTTCCTTTGACTCTCATTTTGTCAGGTAAACACTAACTTTTAACATCCACTGAAATTATTATTCTTAAAGGCTTAAAGATTTATAAAGGCTCAAAGATTCCTTAGCAATCATACAAGCAATGATTTACACAGCTTCACTATTACTTGGAAGGGAATCACTAGGAAGGGCAATTTATACATCATAACAAACGCTCATTAGGAAATTAATTACACATCATAACAAATTTAACAATCAAACAAACAATGATTTACACAAATTTACTGTCAATTGGAAAGGAATCATCTAACTTAGAAATCTATCTACACAGAAGGCTCTAACTAGGAGAAGCAGAAAATATAGAGGAATTTACACATAACAAATTTTCATTGGGAACTTACTGATTAACAAATTACTGATTAACAAGATAATATAGGATGACTATTGAGACTAGATTGTCATGAGGGAAACCATAGCTAGAAACAGGCTTCCAGGTGCAAGTGGGGCACCTGCAGTTGAGAGGATATGCTCAGCCTTGGAGGACAGGGCTTTCAGACCTCCCCATGTTACCGGTATTGTAGATCTCCATTGTTCAGTGTCCATCCCCGGGGGAAGGGGTGATTTCGGGTAGGATGACGGCACTTCAGTATTCATCCCCGGGGGAAGGGGTGCCGGTGTCAGTTGCGGCTCTGGAGTCGGGTCAGATGGCGGCCACCGAAGGGGTGGTGGCTGTGGTTCAGAGACGGGAAGGGGCGGAGGCGCAGGGCAGAGTGTGCTGGCGTGCAGGGGAGCCGCAGCGCGGGGTGCGTCCAGGACCCCTAGTCGCAGCCGGAGTGCAGAGCCCGCTCTCGCCTGCCCAGAGCCTCCAGGCGGGACCATCCCGGGCGGCAACACCCCAGGCGACCGGGCCGGCAAGCCCAGGCAGCAGCAACCCGGGACTGGGCTCAGAGCACCGCGGGAGGGATGGAGCGCGAGCCATGCCGCAGCCGGAGTGGGAATCCAAAGTGGACCTGTAGGAGACAAAACAGCTGCATACCCTCGCCCCCGGGTTAGTAATTCTACAGGTCCTTGCCAGACAGAGGGATTTTAAGGATCTTTATAGAGGACCTGTGCGAGGTCGGGTGTCAGAGGGGATAAAATGTCATTCTGCAGCAGTACGACCATCTTTAGCAACCGATAAAATGTTAAAAATAAAGAGAGCTTTGGCAAGTCTTTCATTTTGGTCACATACTCTAGACCCATCATCTCCCCTCCTTTGTTTATTTAAGAGCTGTTTGAGAGTATGACGGGCACGTTCAATTATGGCTTGTCCTTGACGGTTATAAGGAATGCCAGTGGTATGAAGAATATCCCAAGTGGCACAAAATTGTTGAAATTTAGCA